ATGAAGCAGTGCTCATTAAGGTGGGTTTTAAACAGCTTCTTTGAATTGTAGGCATCTTGGTTTTGAATCGAATGTGCAAAAGTCTGTTAGATATGGAGCCTAAAATATGAACGATCAAAAGAACAGAACCAGGATCAGGAAGCTAGTTTAAGAGTTGAGAGCTTAAGAGACTAGAGAAATGGTGCATATGCAACATAATGCTTATGTTGTTGGTGCCTGTTTGATAAAATGTCTATCTTTGATCAGTTTATTAATAAATATACAGTTAGTCTCATGTATGCTACATTTGTCCAGGGCATCTTCCATGAGGAGCCCAACATGACCCTGAACATTGTCAGTATCTTTAGCATCAATCTAGACTTGCTGGCGGATCATCTCATAACCCACTCACTGGGATGGAATGGTCCTCAGTGACGGGGACCTTCCACATGGACACACAAATGAAGTGGAAGTGGGTAGAGAGAGGGTGTCAAGTTTGAAAAAACCTAATATGTTCATGTTCTGTTAATTTCTATTGACCCTAGTGCTCAAACAAACTGGTTGGAGAATCAGTCGAAGTTGTTTGTCAAACTCATCAACATGTGCTGTAAGTAGCCTTGTAATCTTTTTGCTTTTTAGCACAAGTGTTTGATTAGCTTGTGCCATGGCGAGATGTGTGTCTGTCCATCCTTATGTCCATCACCAATTTGAAAGAAACACAATTTTTCATAGATTATTCATTAGTCTGGTTCTTCAACCTAACTGTGCTCAGGTCCAAGGTCGCATTTGCCATTTTACGAGGAATAACCTGTAAGTTGTGGCAGATCGTGTCCCATACGTTCTGGTTTTATCTGCAGTTGTCCCAGAGATGAGCTGTCACAACCTTTGTCATTCAGGTTGAAACACCAGCATCTATTGTTGGACTGTGGGTCGAAGGGGCTAATGGTGGGTGTGCCTTTTTCCAGACAGTAGCTTGAGCTCCAATTTGGTGCACAGGAACAAGCTGCTGTTTCTATTTGACCAGAGCTGCTTCAGCTGTAAATTTAGTACAGTTTAGCTGTAGACTTTCTCAGCCTCCCATCACATAGGACTTTGATAGATGGCTGCTGGCAGCTAGTCATCCTCTCAGAGGTGCAGATGAGACATTTCTTTTTCTCTGCATAGGCAGGCACAGGCTCTGACCAGCTGTAATTTTCTGCTTTGAGCTCAATTGGAAAGCTTCTGAATCTACCCAGGAAACGTCCTAGCTGCTGCATGGAGTCAACACTCTGTTTGAGTTTACTGGTGATTTTGATTATAATAAATGTTAGTTGTACAGTATTTTTAAAAATAGAGTTTGCAAAGCAATTTGGCAAACAGAAAAAGCAGTTCCAGATAGAAAGCCAAATATTAGGGCCAAATAAGGTCAATACAATTAAGTTCAAGTGAAGACATAATAAAAAACAGAAAGTAAAATAAAAAATAATTAGCAGTAAAAGAGTAAAATATAGGGAAATAATAAAGAAGACAAGTGAAAGATGATAAACAGTTAATACAAGACTATAAAACACGAAATAAAATTGTAATGACGTCACAAAGGAGCAAGCCTGTAAAAATGTGCTTTGGAAGAAGTGGTTTCAAGGAAGTTTCTGATTTTTCAAGCCTAATTTCTGCAGTCATATCTTTATCTTTCTGTAGATTTAAGTTTGGGCTTTGAAACAGGCAGACGGCCCCACCTAAAGATCTGAGGCTGCAAACTGGTTCGAAATTTCTTCTGTGCAGCTCGGTACCAAGCTGGTGCCTTAAAAATGATCATCTTAGATGTTAAAATCAACTCTAAAACATATAGGAAGCTAATGTAGAGAAGTCAAGACTGGGGTGATGTGATGTTGTCTGCTAAAACTTGCAAGAAGTCAATCTGCTGTTTGAGAAAATAAACATGGATCGCTTGTTCTAGTTCATAACTTATTTGATGTCTGGTTTAAAGATAGAAGCTGAATAAAATGTTACTCTAAAATGTATGAACAAGAGACAACTCCATGGGGTTGTACAAGAAGATTTTGTATTTTTAGGTACTGAGTTGAAGAAAATCTTGTGCCATCCAACATGCAGCCCTTCATGGTGATCTGAGAACCATGTAGGATTCTCACTTATTGGAGTCTATAGAGGATAATCTTTCTTTATTATGTGGTTTTGTCCTGGTGCCACAGTGAAATGTTGTGTCTGGTGAGCAGATGTTGATTGGGGCTTAGTATAGCATTGCTCTACAAATTGTAAACTTATAGTTAAAAGATGCTAAAATGCCCTGCAAAGACAGTGGCAATTAGCTTCAAATTCACCACTAAAAGCAGCCCCTCTAATAGGAAATCATGTGACTTCTTTGTTTGTAGGAGCTGCTGTTTGTACTGTAGTTAATAAAAGCAACTTTAGACTATTTTAACAACTTACATATAAACCTGAGATTTGCTACACTTGTGCACAAGACCTATGCAAACCAGGAAAGATAGCTAATCTGTTAATGACTATCCTTATATTGAAAACTACTTGAAATGATTTTGTTTGTTAAGAAAAAGCATCTCCCATTCTTAAAATAATTGATTCATTTTCTGTCAGTGAACTAATCATTTCCCCTACAGTAATATCCTGGCAGCTCTCCTCTATAATTCACATCCTTTTGCCAAAAAAAAAAAAAAAAAGCCAGTTTATCATACATGACACTATGTGTCTGTTTATGTCTACATGTCAGGGCTCATCTGCCACTGTCTCACATTTTGCATTATGTGGATTTAGTGATTCTTGCTGCATAGCAGCTGTTCTGTGGGCCAAGGACTCACTCTTCACAGGAGTCAGTGAGAAATGTCACTCAGTTTCTCTGCTGTAACTGCTCCAGAGCACAAACTGTCTCTGCATTGTAAATAAGGTCATGCATTACAGCCTCTGGAGGGCAGCTTGGATTTCACTGTTCGTTCTGTTGTTGAGTCAGACAAATATTTTATACCTGCTCCTGTTGTTTGTTATTATTTATCCATTGTAGATGTGTGTAAAAGAAATCAATCTTTGAATGAAATGATTTAAAAGTATAGTATTGGGCATAGATCTGAATCATGTAACTGCTCCTGGGGCATGGACTGTTCAGACAAATAAAACAACCCCCCTGCCATGCAGTTGTTTTACATCTTGTAATAGTTTTTCTGGTCAGATTTTCCTGTTTGCAGTGCTGGCAATCAAATTGGAATATTAAAAATATAAGCAAAAACTTAGAAGCAAAAGCTATTTAAGGTTAGACCATAATAAAAGCTTACATTTGTTTTTTCAAAGCTTTGTATTCTTGGTTGCCAGGGTGACACATCTTCGCTAAAGACAATATAATGTGACCTTCTTATAAACGTAAACCAAAAAAAAAAATCCATAACGATTTCACAGTTTCCTGTTTTCCATGAGACTGGGCTGGAACTTGTATGAAAAATCTGGAAAAAAAACAGATGGCGTTTTGGATTTTCTTCCCCCCAGAATTCTGACATTAATTGCAGAATTCTGAGTTTTTGTTTTTATAATTCAGTTTTTTCTTTCTCAGAATTCTGCCGTTCCAAAAAAAAAAAAAAACAACCTTCAAATTCTGTGGTTTATCAGCTGGGCTTTTACTGTCATTTGACAGATTTTAAAAATGGCTGTAACTTAAATACAATAATAAGCAAATGAAGACTCCAGGAAGTCTTTAATGTCAATCTACACTTCCTGACCACTGCAGTTCATTTGCTATAGAAGCTTGAACAAACCTGCACAGCTTAGTCATGCACAGATGGACAGACACACACTTCGCATTTGACATCAGCTCCTTACCTTAACCCTTTCCCCTCATCTGCCTAAGATTAAGCATTCACTGTCATGTGACCCTCCTCTGGTTGTTTAACGGCAGGTGGAATAAGCGGTACATCACCCTCACTCTCACAGCACTGTTTGGATAGATGGATAATGATGTAAATGGTAAATGGTAAAGTAAAGATGGCGGTTTTGGTTTATTTATTTATTTTTTTTAATGGAGCACATGAGTCAAAACACTTGGTTCCACCTTCCACAGAGCTGTCAGACTCATAGAGATCAGATGAGCTGCCTTTTTAAAAGTCTAAAGTTACTTTTGCAATTAAAATTCCCTCATTTGAATGGTAATTTAACTGCAGAAAACTGGTTATTTAAAAATGTATTTTAATATGCAAGCCAACAGATCAATTCGGTTTTATTTATAGTGTAGCACCAGTCAATAGTATCAACAATAGTCACCTCAAGAAGCTTTGTATTGTTGGGGTAAAGGTAAAGGTGCTACAATCAGAGAGAGAACCCCAGCAAAAGCACTTGGCGACAGAATAGAGATCACAGGCTCAGCAAGGAGCAGTCATCCAGCATGTCAGTCTCTCTAAGGTACACATGGGAAAAATACAACCCATAGCCTGGGCCCATCTCGGTTTAGCTAACACACATGTAAAAGAGAAACAAAAAGAATGCGGCCTTTTGCTCACTTCATCTAAATCAGCATCAGTAGAACTCTGGAATTAAAATGTTGGCCAAACCTGCTCTATGGGGACAAGTGAACCAGATAATGCCAGGAAACTTTTATGGAATGCATTATTTTAAATGAACAGCTTATATGTTTTCCCCCCTATGTAATAATGTAAATAAAATGTCTAATAACTTTAAGTAGTACAACCTTTCAATCTGAAATGCACTATAAGTAGAAGTATAATACCTGAGCACTGTGGCTCTCTGATACTTGAATACATGCGCTTTCTATCACTAGACAAGAAGAGTAATTTAAAAGGCAGCACTGAACACAACTTGGTTGCATCTTTGGTCTGTAGTCAGAGTTGGGATTTAGGTTGCTGGGGGATTTCAGCGCGTTTCCTGGGTCAGTGGATTACCTTGTATGTGTTGGCTTGCGTATGTAGAAGGAGGGGGGGGGGTGTTAATCCTTGAGACAAACATGCAAACTCTTCCTGTGTTTTGTCTGTAACTCTGGAAGCTGAAAGGACATTTTTCCTCTGTTTCAGGTGTGAATAATGAGTCCCGTTCTTCCTGCTTGAACATGCAGCTTGGGTAGCAAAGCCGACTGACAGGAGCATCTACCTTCACGCGCTGCTTCCTCTTTGGACACACACACTAACTGTGTCGGCTCAACTCAAGCACGGCCATGCTGATCAAGGAGTATCGGATCCCCATGCCTATGAGTGTGGAGGAGTACCGCATTGCTCAGCTCTACATGATCCAGGTGAGTAGTTTTCCTCACACAGCCTTACAAACATTACACATGTATTTAGGTTCATTTCACCTGGTTTCACTTAGATGTGGCGCTGCTACGGCTGGACACTATTAAAAACTAAGCATTTATATTAAAAGATGCATGTGTCATGCAATTACATGTTTATACACAGTCCCACGTTTTCAGAGATTCAATTAAAAGTGGAAAAATTAGCATCGTTTTAAATATAAGGTAAGTCAGTGAACCAAATGTAAATACAAGTGAAACACTACTCTACTTTACCTGCTTAAACGGCCCTCACCTGGCTGTGACACTCTTGTTTATCAATTCAGATGCTATTACCTCTGAAAATAGTGCACTGTGTTGTAATTCCTAATCAATTAAACCACGTTTCTGGTTGTTTGGTCTAGAATCCATTGTGGTTGGTCCAAGGCAAAATAAAAAAAATGTGTATTTGTCCAAACACTTACAGGTATGGACTGAACTGTGAACAGTAAAAATAAATTAGACACACTACAAGTAATTTGAATACTTTTTTATTTTCTAATTATTATATATTATTTTGTTATAGAATTTGGAGATAAAAGCTGCAGACAAGGTGTGTGTAAAATAAATAATGGCATCATTTTGGCTTCAGAATTTGTATTAAACTGTTTTAAAAATCAGAAATTGCAACTCATATAACTTGTATGCTCCCGTCTAGATGTCTTTTTCCTTTGCTGTAAAATCAAAACTTTAAATGAGAAGTTGCATTATGTGATTTTTAAAATTCATTTATTTTTAAATAATTTATATACTCAAATATTTGTGGAGCACATTCTCTAATTTTTCTGTCTTCAAAGGAAATAATAAGTATACCTGAGAGGAATTAAATTTAAAAAAATTATAGTACAGGGCGTAGAGTAATTTTCTTGACCTGGGGCACTAAACCAGGTAGAAGTTCAGGTTTTTTATGTCATGGTGGCAGAGGTCAGCTGTGTGGGTCTGTACCAGGACAAGAGCACTAAGGGAACATGAGTAAATGGTCACAGGGGCAGTGGAGTTCTGCAGAGCAGATGGTGCTCCATATGCCTGTGGCTTGTGTTTATCTTGGTAATTGTGTGAAAATACAAATGCAGATAGTTACAAGGGCATAAAAATGATCTCTCTGTGAGTTTTGTTTAGTAAACATAAGCAGGGAAATATTCATAACCACCATCTAGCCCTCATTGTGGTGTCTCATTGCTCTGTGTATTGTGTTCTAACAAAATGTTATTCAATATTCAATATGCTTGCAGAAAAAAAACAGAGTCTGGTACTAAAGTCCAAGACCACCAGAGGTCAGGTGACGGGGGAAGAAAATCTATAAATCCAGAATTTTGTGGTTGTCAGGTGCTTCTTGAACGCTTTGTGGTGTGTGGCCTGGCAGCAAAATTGCAGAATCATCAAAATCTTTTGTCCCCGCAGTTAGTTGTAACTGTGGATACACTACAAGTGTGCATGCATCCAACAGATATACTAGAAACTAGTATAATAAGAACAGCTGTTCATCTGCAGTGTCCAGAGCTGACCATGTGCGAGTATTCTTCCCTTCTGGGAATCAGTTCAGAGACCACTGAGATGCTCTGAGACTATTAGACAGCCTTCTTCTCCAGCCCTCACCTGTGCTGACTGGAGTCAAAATGTCTATCTGAAACGTAACTGGATTTTTGTCTCTCAGTGTACAAAGCCTGATGAATTGCTCTCTGTATGATGTGAAGCCTAGCCATGTTGTGACACACAGAAAGGCTTTTTTGCTCATAATAACTTTTTCACTCTTGTGAAATTCCTTTATTTCTTTTTATTTCTTTTTTGGCCAACGTCACTGCAGAGAGTAGTCAGGAAAGTGGGAAGATATGTAAAACATGGTCTGGAGTCGAATCAAACCCAGCTTTTTAGAATATGGGTCACCTGCTCAACCAAAGGAGCTATAGCACCACCATGTTCCTTTATTGCTTCAGCTGTGTTCATGAGATACAGCCATTTTTCTTAGAGGTGAACAATGGCTGCGGATTAATTTAGCTTAACAAGGGTTGATAAGACAAATTGTAAGTGAATTTTACAAGTTACGACTTGTATTCCTAAATGTTTTATTAAATTAAAGGTTTAGTTGGGATCCTCATACCTTCAGATTATTTCCATTTATACATGAAAGTGTTGCAGCTGTTTGATGTGGTCTCAGATATGCTGGACCTCATGGCATAAAAGCAGGTAGTGCCTGTTTGATATTTATGGTTTCCCCCAAACCCTCTAAATGTATTGCCACTGGCACATTAAGTAAGACACACACACACACACACACACACACACACACACACACACACACACACACACACACACACACACACACACACACACACACACACACACACTTGTGCTGGACGTTGCCTCTTGCTCACTTTCACAGCTGGGCACTAGTTGCCATGGTAACCAGTGACATCAGCTGCAGCAAGGCAGCAGCTGCCATCATTTTGTTTTTGAGAAAAACAGCAAGTGAAAGGACAGCTGTGATTTAGTGAAATGTTGAGATATTGTTGGAAATTAAGTTACAACAGACAATTAAACAGGTAAGACCAAAAAATAAAAAGATAAATTTTAACTCCTCGAGTTACCTTCCAAAAGGTAAAAAGCATTAAAATATCAGTTCAATCCCATCATCATGCATACTACAGGACTATTATCTAACATTCTTAAAAAAAATCACGTTAAGCTTCTCAAATGTGGAAATTATTAGATCAATTTATACAAGGTTGTAAATTTTTTCCTGACTGTCTTCTGCTCATAAATACTTAAAAAAAAACTTATCCAAAATACACCAAGACAACAGGCGGGTTAGCAGCTCATCTTAGAAGACATTAAGCTGTGTATTTGTTCTGAAGACTCAGTTTTAGGAGACCTTTGATGATGTGATTGGAATCTACTGCAGTGTCTCTCCCAGGGAAATGGGAATTACGGCCTCTAAAGCTCCTATTCCCACTGGGATCATATCTGTTCTGTGATACGTTTTCACTTGTGCGTCTAAGTGTGGAGGACTGCAGTTGCAGAATATAGAAAATACATATGTAGCAGTTTTTGAATATCGAATGATTGTCTGGGTTTGTGTCAGTGCCAGTGTCAGTTTCTCTAGAAGCCATCTCACATATCATCCCTCACTTTTGTTAATTAGAGGTCATTAAAAACTATCTACAGGAAATTATCAACCCCTGGGCTTTGTCCTCTGGGGACCATGATCTGTCCACAGGAGATTATTACAGTTTTTTCTACTTGTTGGTGGATTTTCCATTGCATTTTTGTTTTACTTCAGCAGCAAGCTGACAGTAACCTTTTGTTTGTGGCCAGTGTCAGATTGACGCACTGGATTTGAAAAATGACCAAGGTAGGAGATGTGTGAAGCCTTTGAGCAGCCACTCATAATGTTTGATGCATGAGGTTCTACTAAGGCACCAAGAGCTGAGGGGAGGAGTTAGCTACCCCTGGTTTATGCTAACCTTGTGTTGTCACATAAATTATTCAGGGACACTTCAGCCTGGCAGACTCACGACCCTCAGCAAAGCTGGGTTACTACAATTCACAGAGGGAGTCGTCCGAGTGTCTGCATAAGCTAGCAGCAGTTCTCAAACTGGACATACAGATAAAGTCAAGGTCAAATTTATTTATATAACACAAATGTATTTATATAGTGCATTTAGAATAACAAAGTTCAACAAAGTGTTTTAAATGAAAATATATAGCCAAGTAAAAGTTTTAAAATCCAGTAAAATAGAATCCAACACACCAGATTAAAAGACAATAAATAAAATAAGATCAAATAAAATAAAGTAAATGCAGACCATAAAATGCAATAATCTAAAGTGATGTCACACTGGAGGAAGAACTTGAGCCTATCCCACCTGCTATAGGGCGAGAGGCAGGGTACACCTTGGACAGGTTGGCAGTCTGTTGCAGGGCAAACACAGAGCTACAGACTAGCATTCACTCTCACATTCACACCTATGGGCAATTTGGAATTACCAGCCAGATGTGATGAAAATCTGAAAGTAGAAAATTTTTCCACAACGTGATCAACATTACACCGCTTCTCACCAAGACAGAATTAAAAATACTAAAGAGCAATTGAGGCCTGTGACTGTTATTAGAAACAATATTTGAGAAGTAAGCAGACATGACTGTTAAACGGTCATGTAAGATCTCCAAGGAGACCTGGAGCTTGTCCTTTTTCTATTTACTCAGCATGTCTACACTCATGTCTGTGGGTTGTGTTATTCAGCAAGGGCTGAAAGGGGGATGTAGTCCAATACAGCAGTGCAGGGCTTCAGCTAACAACTCTGAGTTTGTTAAACCTGAGTGGGTTTTAGAAAGAGAGTTATCTTCAACTCTGAAGATAAAACTATAAAACTGAACTCTGAAGTGGGGTAACAGAAATATATTTGGCCCTGTACTAGCCAGCTCAACATATCCAGGGTATCTTTTTGTTAGCTGTATTCACTTACCCTAATGTTGACAATCAGGATAAGCAGTCAAGTTAAGCTGGTTATTAATTCGGTAAATTAACCCAGGGTTTTCTTGCACGCACATGAAAGAGGTGGTGTTGGCAGTCCCAATCTAAAAGGATTGTTTCATGGGTAATATGATTTTTCTTCCACAGAAAATGATCCCCATATGAGTGCCACCTACAACATGATTAAAAATCTATAAGAAACATAAAAATATAACAGTCAAATGCAACACTATTATAAAAAGGACAGTCGTTAGTCTGGTAGTTTAGTTCACAGAGGGGTAAAATAAGGATTTTTAAGGGTTTGATAATAAAGATTAAAAATAAAAACAGAATTCAAACATAGGCTTAGTCTATACATAAATGATATGAGGTCTCTAAGTAGAGTGTAGGTGTCCTGTTTTAGAATCAGATATTATTGCTAATAAAACAATAAAATTGTTTTTAATTTTTTTGCAGAGCAAAGCTTAGTAAACTATACAAATTTTTGAATTTT